ATACTCAATAAAAAAGCATTATAACAAAACTATTTAAGACCTGATTATTATTCTAAAAAAATTATAATCCTTTCTCAAAGGGTGTAACTCCACTGTCTTCAGCGATACAATTTTCAATTTTTATAAGTGTGTCCAAGATTTAAGTCCTCAGTATCTGAACATCCATAATAGAATTGAAAGAGAAGAAAAAAGAAAAAGGATAGGTAGGTTAAAGGAAATTACAATACATTCACCTGAACCCTGAGCTAAGCAGAAAGTGCGCAAAGGGACTGGAAGGTAAATGCACAGATCTTAGAGAACAAAGGTAAAAACATGTGTTGCGTTACAGTTCCCGTGAGCTGATAAAGACAAACTTCAACAACTATCAGACACAAACTGCCTACATTTTAGTACCTGAATTTATTGCTTGCACAGTTATTCCTATTCAATAAGTACCAACAGAGGGGAGACTACCCCAGTAATAGGATAAACCCTTGAATCTACAGCACCATAAATTTTAAGGTGGAAAAGTAAGCAACGAAATTATCCAATCAGATATTGAAACAACTCTCTTCTTCAAACAATTCCATTAACAGATGATTTGAGAAAAAATACTAATTATGCAAACTTATCAGTTACTAAAATAAGGCATACGGAAACATCACTGAAGTCCCTTTACAGCCTAGGAGGATTACCACTACTGGAAAGGATAAAAGACAAAGAACACATGGTAACACAGCTAAACAGTTATATCTACCATGGAAAACAAGCAGTGAGAAAAGAAAAAATGCAAACCAACAAATTGTTAAACTCTCAGATTAATTAATAAATTTTTTAATAGAGCTCCCTGTGCTTGCAAACCCTGAAGCTAGTAATAGTCTACACTAGTAAATTAAACCAGCAATTAAGAATGGACCGTGTTCCGTGGCATGTCTGTATCATTAAACTCTCTCGACCTCTGAAACAGGGTGGCTGTGCCCAAACTACCCATTGAGGATAGCAGCTAAATCCTCGGTAGCGCTCCAGACCCGCCTGGGAGAACGTCAGCCGTCGTGGGCCACAACTGCTCCCTGCTGCGCTCCCACGATTTCTCAGTACAGGAGACCGCGTTCCCGTGCCCGGGAACATTTGCTGGTGCTGTTTAACTCGCCAGGGCTGATACAGAAGTCTAATTCCCCACGTGCTTCATACTGTGGCTATTTCTACGTATCAAGGTGAATTTTCGGAATTGTAACGGTGATCAGTTGTTCATAAAAATTCTAGGCTGCTTATGGCTGTCAACCTAAACAAATGGCCGTGGCTTGCCATGTACTTGTCACCAAAACTGTAGCTAAAGACAGCAGGGAGATGTGGCTCTGTAGACAGCCAGCAATTACGTACAACAATACATAATGCCGATTACAGACAGGAAACCGCTGTGCAAGATAGCACTTCCCAGGTGTTTTACAGCACATTTCACTGCCATCCTCTCCTCTTCCCCTCTCTCTCCCAGGCTCCCTGAAGCTGACTACTCATCTCTCTCCCTCATCCTCCTCTAGCCATAGTAATGCCAGTGCAGAAAACAGAAATAAACTAAAAAGCATGGTGCTGGCTTGCATTTTGTGTTGTGCTTCACCTCTAACGTTGCAGCACGTGCCTGGCAACCAGTGTTTTTGATTATCTGCTTTTCAGAATAAGGAGGTTTTGCATGGATCTGAAGTATCATGGACTAAAAATAACATCTCACTTTATCCAAAGAGATGCTCTCAACTCTGTATTTTTAATAACCTTCTACAACAATATTTTAAATCAATAATTCTTTTATATGTTTTGCATCCTGTACTTTCAATCAGAAAGATATTTTGAACTGGGCTGAAAGTCCCAATATTAAACACACTTAAGTTTGCTGTCCTTTCTCTGATCAGATGGAATCACCTGCAAGTTCATGTGTGGGGGGGGGGGGGGGGGGAAAGCTTTAAAATAAGTGAGTGGCCTCCCTTCAAAATAAATGCATAAGCAACAGCACAAAGTCTAATCAACAATTTTAGTACAAAGGCTACTTTTAGTTTTGCCACAGAATCAGCAATAGTAGAAGACTTTAAACTTTGTTTAAAGGTTAACAAGAGCAGTTGCAACAGTTACACAAAATGCAGATTCAGGAGTCGTCAGGAATTCAACTCTCAGCTGTTCTTTTTCAAAGTTCACATTTTTAAACATCAAACTGAATGCCATATAACCACTTTTCAAATTGAAGCAACAGCCAGAGGTGTGGCAATGTCTTACTTCAGACAGCGACATACTACTCAATTTCGAACAACATGGACATTTGATCATCTATTTTAACATGAATAAGAAGAAACGTGGTTGCAAACAAAAGATGAGGTTTTTAACAACGTTGAAACTGTACTTGCTACTAATATTGCACTGAAAAGACTCACAAACTGGAGGCCTAGATACTGCTGCATGACTGAGTAATGAAGATGGATGCACAATCAACTCTTTTGGGAAATTCTGGGCAAACTAACCGCACGCAGCAGTGCACGAATGATGAAAAGCAGCTTTTCTGCCTTCATTGGAACCATTTATACTTTTCATATGTTATTTGCGCTCTGTGTTTAACCTAAGGCTTGAAAAAAACCCATTCCACAAGTAAGAAACTTCATCAGGTGCGTATCGTGAATTTCTACAGAATGTAAAGTGAAACTGGGAGTAGAGCAACAGGGAGATTTCTCGCTGACATAGCTGTGAATTGCGTATCTGAACTAAATGCACATTTTTAAAGCTGTAATCACTGTTCTGAGTCAGAAAGCACCCCTAGTGTCAACACGTCCATTCCTCAGAGATGGAGACAGCTTTTGCCAGTACTCCGTGGAGTAGGATGGCATTTTTGACAGCGGCGGGCACCAGATAGGGTTAACTGCTGCTTCACTTTCTATACAGAATTTTCTGTTACTTTTTGCTTTTATATAGGCTGGAGTCCAGATTATAGCCTCCTGCACCTTCCCCTACAGAAGCAGACTCTGCTTGAAAGAGCGTTCTTTTACCTCTCCTGCCCGCAATTTGAGAAAGTCAGCATAAACTGAGCTGGAGGACGGATGTCACCAAAAAAAGAGCAGATGTTGGGATAATGAACTGGGCAACAACCCACCTCTCGGTGCCCCACTTCCAAAATGAAACCTGAAACCCTCTGTTACAAAGCATGGGACACGCTGGGAGTTACTACGATTCAAAATAACTTGCATATAGGAGTTAGTAAACTAGTTAGTAAAATAGCCCACGCAAATGCGGAAAAGGAAGGTTTCACTTTTATATGCTAGCTTTTACCAGGACTTAGACACCTAACTCCAGGTGAAATAAAGGCACTTAGGTCAGAATATGATTCCCCAAATCTTCTAGAAGCAGCTACGCGTTCCCTTTGTGGAAAAGGAGAATGAAGTCACTTTTTTCCTTCAAACCCAGTAGGAATACAACAAGGTTACAGCAGTACCTCTTTCTTATCATAATCCCGCAGGTTACGGAACAGGTCAAAAGTTAGAGCCACGTGCTGCTGAAAACACGTCATGTGCAGATACAATGGGAGAGAGAAAAGAAGATATGACACAGTTAGGCTCCCCAGAGCTCCATTCTTCTAAGCAGTCCCCTAACAGCTTGATGTCCAATATTGAATGCCCTGTTCTGGGAAGTGGGAGATGTAGACTGGAAAATCTTCAGCCTGAGAGAAGTGCTAGTGTAAAAAGGGGAGAGGAACACCTCTCTTCTTCTTCTGACATGTTTAAAAACTGAAGTGACCATGGGCACTTGTCTGTCTGTTTTTGCAGAGCTCAGTTCTTTGGAAGCATCTCCCCTGGTGCTTTGAAAGAGAAATGTTAAAGACCTTTTTATTCCTTAAATAAAACATTGGCTCTCCGGGGGGCTTCTTTGCCTGAAAAAAAAGTATTTTTCCTGGGTAAACCTAGGTATTACCCATATTTTGATTGTTCTGGCAAAGAAAAGTACACAAGGCATTCTTCAGGAGTGTTAGTTAAGCCAGGATAATTAGTTTAAATGAGAAGCACTAACAGATTTTTCGGGGAATAAAGTATTTTCACATGATGGCAAAATAGCACATATCAGACTTATTGGGGTCTTTAAGCAATGGTATTCCTCTATTTGCACTGTTTGCTACCTCAGTTTGAAAGAAGCAGCACAGCTGATGACCGGGGGAACTATGATGCAACATACTTGCATCAAACGTTAACAAAGCCACTTGTCAAGTTTTCCTTCCCCAAAGCGGCTTCCACCAGTAAACATCTATTTAAATCAAAAAATCTTTGTCTGCAATATGCTTTTTTCCTACTGCATTAATAAAAACAAATTAAACGCTGGATAAAGCAAATCCGGGCAACGCTACAAGATACTTTTTTGCTTATAAATGTACGACCCGTTTGTAGCCTAGCAACAAAAGCAACAGTCTGTGTTAAATGGATAGTGCCTGCTGCTGGGTCCGTCTCCTCAAAACGGCAGCCATCTTTGGTGTGTAACTTAAAGAGAGATTTCATCATTCGGCATTAAAGCTACCTCCAGATGTTAGAGGTTGCAGCAGCCAACTCAGCAGCATGTGCTTTCAGTTTGCCACCTCTTCTCTCATCGCTCTCATCTCATGAGGTATCGCACAGACACCTATCACCCATTACACATTTACCTCTCCTCTTCATTAGGGACAAAACAGTTTCTTCTCTTATTTTATTTCACTCCTGACTGCTTCAGACTTTATTCTGCTCCTTATTTTTTAAAACCCAAGGTAAACTTAAGTAGGATTACCGGTCCCTGTCCAAGCACATTCATGGTCCTTTCCTGTAGTTTTTCACTATTTAATATATCTTTTTCTAATAGGATCCAAACAGATTTTTCATCTATACTTTGGTATAAAGCCGGTCGTCACTCTCCCCCAGCCCTTTCAATACCCATCATTATAATTACCCTCAATTATTCATAATTCAGTAAATAAAAAAAAATCAGTATGCATAATTAAACCCCTCGCCTCTGGTTACTAGATGGCTGACCTCCAAGTTACCAGGTGTGTTCCTCCCAGGAAAAGATGATGGCCCAGCACAGAGAGGCTGGCTCCCTGCAGGCACCGCTATCCGCCACCCTCGGGTCACACGCCGAGCCGCGAGGACGACTCTTGGTCAGGGTGCAATTTCGGGAGGGGGTTTTGGAGACGGTGGGAAAGCAGGGAGCTGTTATTTGTGGAGAGAGGACGGCACGGGGAAAGGCTGTGGCAGCCCCCAGTCACCTGTCTAATGCACGTGATAAGTGCAAAGTCAGAACGTCCCTAGGAAAGGGGGTGATCACCACCGTCCCGGGGCTGGGAGGTACGGGGGGGGCCCAGGGTCTGGGGCCATACTGAGGTGACGGGGGGTGACAAAGGGTCTGGGCCCCTGCAGAGGGGACAGGGGTGACACAGGGTCTGGGCCCCTATGGAGTGGATGGGAGTGACACAGGGCCTGGGGTCCTGCGGAGGGGATGGGGGTGACACAGGGTCTGCACCTATGGAGGGGATGGAGGTGACACAGGGTCTGGGGCCCCTGCAGAGGGGACAGGGGTGACACAGGGTCTGGGGTCCTGCAGAGGGGATGGGGGTGACACAGGGTCTGCACCTCTGGAGGGGATGGGGGTGACACAGGGACTGGGGCCCGGGGGGGG